GTGTCCCAGCCCCCTAATCATTTTTGTTGCCCTCCACTGGACACTCTCCAATTTTTCCACATCCCTTCTATAGTGTGGGGACCAAAACTGGACACAATACTCCAGGTGTGGCCTCACCAGTGCCGAATAGAGCGGAATAATCTCTTCCCTCGATCCGCTGGCAATGCTCCTACTAATACAGCCCAATATGCCGTTGGCCTAACGAGGGCACACAGCTGACTCATATCCAGCTTCTCGTCCACTGTAATCCCGGGGTCCTTTTGTGCAGAACTACTGCTTAGCCAGTCAGTCCCCAGCCTGTAGCGGTGCATGGGATTCTTCCTTCTTAAATGCAGGACTCTGCACTTGTCCTTATTGAACCTCATCAGTTTTTTTTTGGCCCAATCCTCCAATTTGTCTAGGTCACTCTGGACGCTATCCCTACCCTCCAGCGTACCTTTCCCCCCAGTTTAGTGTCATCTGTGAACTTGCTGAGGGTGCAATTAATCCCATCATCCAGATCATTAATAAAGATGTTGAGCAAAACCGTCTCCAGGACTGACCCCTGGGGCACTTCGCTTGATACCGGTTGCTAACTAGACATCAAGCCGTTGATCACTACCTGTTGAGCCAGACAATCTAGCCAGCTTTCTATCCACCTTACAATCCAATCATCCAATCCATACTTCTTTAACTTTCTGGCAAGAATACTGTGGGAAAATGGAGGCACAGAAAGATAAAGTGACTTGCCAGAGTCCATTCTGCAAGCCACTGGCGGAACCAGGAATAGAATCCAGGTCTCCAGAGTCCCAGTCCAGTGCTCTATTTAGGCCACACTGCATTCCAGCTCTGTGGATTAAATTTGTACTAGACTAATTCCATTTTAATATGGTTTGATAAAGTTGTCATTGTGGTAGTTTTAAAAATGCAGGATTATTAGAAGCAGGTTTAGCAGGGTTGTGTGGTAACATTTAAACTCCTACCCACACTACACACTTCAGGCTACACTGTAATGCTCTACCTACATCCATCTTGGACAACTCCCACATAGAGCCAGTCATACTGTAGTGGGTGGTGTACGTCTCCTCAACCATCTGCAGAACATACTGTAGTTCTGTCAGTAGTTTAATTAACTGAATGGCCCCACAGTAAGAAAATACCTAGGCTTGGGTTTTTTTGGTATTAAATGTAAGATTGGAATCAAATTTCCTTCATTTTTGGGAGTAATTCCATGTACAGCAAGAATCGGATATGCCTCTTTCAAATTAGACATGTAAGAACCGTCTATATGGAATGTCTGACACCTTAATTTCCTATGATGATGCTCTAGTATTGTTTCCTCCCTTAACACATGACCAAGTAGCTTAGTTCTTCTTGCAGAGCTGGAGCCCTGCATCTGACATTGATGGGAAAGTCCAAAACAAAGGCACAACACCAAGCCATACTAAAAATCATTTCAAAACCTTCTGATAAGGGTAGAATTATCACTGGAGCATGGGTTGTTCGCCTACTCCATTCCTCTGGGAATTGGTTGAGATTATTCTGGTTTTTAGGATTGTGACACAGAACCTTAGGTATGGAAGTGGTTGACTGAGGCAAGCGTCCTCGCCTCTGGAAGAGTTAATCTCTGAAGGAAAAGAAAGGGACATTTCAGATTTAGAGCCATTGGGACTATATGGTGTGATACACAAGAAAGGCTTCCATAGAAGGAGGGACAAGTCTGAGGTAGCCACAGTAACTATCTTGTGCTCCTGTTGAGTGTTTCCTACTGCATTCCAGAGGCTGGAGAGAGTGTGGTGCCCTGATTAGTTGGACAGATTTGGGGTAGCAAAGGAATTGTAGCTTCCACCACACATCTTCCATGCCAGAGCCATTGATGTGGCCCACAAAATAGTTCTGGACAAAGAGAAAAGCAGTCACTGAGCTCAGTTCATCCATGTACTCTAGGAAGTTGGCTAGGAAGGACATGCAAGTCAGTATAGGACACAGCAATATAGAGATCAAGAATGGGGAGAAAACTCATGGCGATCGGGGGAGGTCCCGGATGACTGGAAAAAGGCTAATGTAGTGCCCATCTTTAAAAAAGGGAAGGAGGAGGATCCGGGGAACTATAGGCCAGTCAGCCTCACCTCAGTCCCTGGAAAAATCATGGAGCAGGTCCTCAAGGAATCAATTATGAAACACTTAGAGGACAGGAAAGTGATCAGGAACAGTCAGCATGGATTCACCAAGGGCAAGTCGTGCCTGACTAACCTAATTGCCTTCTATGATGAGATAACTGGCTCTGTGGATGAGGGGAAAGCAGTGGATGTGTTATTCCTTGACTTTAGCAAAGCTTTTGATACGGTCTCCCACAGTATTCTTGCTGCCAAGTTAAAGAAGTATAGGCTGGATGAATGGACTGTAAGGTGGATAGAAAGCTGGCTAGATCGGTGGACTCAACGGGTAGTGATCAATGGCTCCATGTCTAGTTGGCAGCCAGTTTCAAGCGGAGTGCCCCAAGGGTCAGTCCTGGGGCCGGTTTTGTTTAATATCTTTATTAATGATCTGGAGGATGGTGTGGACTGCACTCTCAGCAAGTTTGCCGATGACACTAAACTAGGAGGCATGGTAGATACACTAGAGGGTAGGGATCGGATACAGAGGGACCTAGACAAATTAGAGGATTGGGCCAAAAGAAACCTGATGAGGTTCAACAAGGACAAGTGCAGAGTCCTGCACTTAGGACGGAAGAATCCCATGCACAGCTACAGACTAGGGACCGAATGGCTAGGTAGCAGTTCTGCAGAAAAGGACCTAGGGGTCACAGTGGACGAGAAGCTGGATATGAGTCAGTGTGCTCGTTGCCAAGAAGGCTAACGGCATTTTGGGCTGTATAAGTAGGGGCATTGCCAGCAGATCGAGGGACGTGATCGTTCCCCTTTATTCGACATTGGTGAGGCCTCATCTGGAGTACTGTGTCCACTTTTGGGCCCCACACTACAAGAAGGATGTGGAAAAATTGGAAAGAGTCCAGCAGAGGGCAACAAAAATGATTAGGGGTCTGGAGCGCATGACTTATGAGGAAAGGCTGAGGGAACTGGGATTGTTTAGTCTCCAGAAGAGAAGAATGAGGGGGGATTTGATAGCAGCCTTCAACTACCTGAAGGGGGGTTCCAAAGAGGATGGAACTCGGCTGTTCTCAATGGTGGCAGATGACAGAACAAGGAGCAATGGTCTCAAGTTGCAGTGGGGGAGGTCTAGGTTGGATATTAGGAAACACTATTTCACTAGGAGGGTGGTGAAGCACTGGAATGCGTTACCTAGGGAGGTGGTGGAGTCTCCTTCCTTGAAGGTTTTTAAGGCCCAGCTTGACAAAGCCCTGGCTGGGATGATTTAGTTGGGAATTGGTCCTGCTTTGAGCAGGGGGTTGGACTAGATGACCTCCTGAGGTCCCTTCCAACCCTGATATTCTATGATTCTCTCCTTAGTTTTAACTCTGCCCTGTAATAATGCCATGCAGTAACCAAACAATTCTGATCACGACATCTGTGCTTGTAGTCATAGATTCAACTGATTTTTCGTTTCCACATTCCTTCTTTGTGTCATTACAGGGGAGAATTAAGTATCTTAACTGTACATTTTGCTACCTTAACATGTTTAGATTTCTTTAAATTTAACCTAATATCTTAGCATTCAAATAACTAAACATAATTCTGAAATTCCTGATTTTTATAGTGCTTGTGTTAGAGATAATTAAGCCCTACCTGTAATTTTTTTTAATTTCAGATATGTACACAAACTTAATTCCTAGACAACAACTGACTTAAATTAGAGTTATGTCAGCGGTATTATGATGTTGTCAGTAAGAGTATTCTGTTTGGCCCTAAAAGTCAAACCTGTCTTTTGTCCATAAAAGCAACTGTGCATCTACACCAATTTTTCATGACAATTCAAGAGTAAAGCTTGAATTTTCTTAGTTTCAAAAGAAGTTTAGTTTCCAAGTTCTAGTTAAGTTAAAAGTTAACAAAAATTCACACTCTGCATCATATTATTCTGTAGTTTGGCTGCTCTCACTTGAGGTAGGTTGGCATTAGCCTGAGAGTAGATAATTCAAGTTAATTTGAATGTGAAGACAGGCTTTAATACATTCAGCTGACTCAGTTGAACTTCTCTCCTTCCTTCAGAAGGAAGTTGTTTGAGAATCCCATAAAACACACTAAGATATGAAGACTGGTGCTGGAGAGGCTATACAGAACACAGACAGGAGGAAGACTTGGAGGGGAGGAGTTAAATCGAGCTTTGAAGGCATAGAAGAAACTGATGCAGAAAGGGAGAGGAAGCCAGTGAGAGGTTTTCAGAGTGGTCTGCAAAAGAGTTTAGCAGCAGCATCTTCAAATGGAGCAGAACTCGGTGAAATTTTTTTGACTAATAGAAATTTTGCCAAAACACACCTTTGGGGGCGGGGAGGAGGAGCTCAAATTATTCTCAAATTTGGGAAATAGTTTAGGCTGAAAAACACTAAAAAATTTTAAGTGTTCACATTTTTTTCAAAATGTCACTTTGAGTTGAGATTTGAAAGGTTTTCAAGCTTTTTATTTAGTCGAGGGGGGAAAAAAATTGAAAATTCCATTTTGGTTTAAAATGAACCATTTTTTACTCCCAAACACTGAAATAAAAAAAAAATATTATTTGCTCAGTTCTGTGACAGGGACATGAAAAATGTTATGATTTAACCTATATATTATCAAGATATGGGCAAAAGTTCTAAAATGGTCATCAATGCCGAGCAGATCAAATCCAGATGTAAATCCAATGCCATTCTGATCCAAATATGCCTGTTACAAATTGACTTGTTAGCACATAGTATTCCCCCCTCCCCCAGGCACAATAGAATACTTACTATTTAGTAAGTTGTTTAAGACATTCACATCCAGGTCTGTATATTTTCTTTGCTGTTGTGCTACCAACTGGCAAAAGTTCTGAGCGGCTCTCACTATGTCTGCCTTTCCATCTTCTGGGGACAGCACCTTCAATGTAGATTGGCAATTTAAAACTGCAAGTACAAAGCACAAAGTTGTTTTAAAAGCAAGTGAACTTTTGCAAGAAAGGTTATTTGTTTACAGTTCTAGGTTGATGAACTATTCAGAGAACAGGGACAGGGATGCAAGTTCTTGTATCAATAACAAAGTGTGCACATCTTGAAATCTCACATTTTAAGAAGCAATGCATTAAGCATTTCTACACACAGTGTACGAATATGTATATCACAACTACATCTTTTTAAAAGTTTATGGTGTTGATAGTCTCCAGGTTTGTTACCTGGACTTTGTATTTCCTGCAGTTTGACCTTAGGACATCTTACAGGGATCTTGTAAGTACCTAAAAGCCTACCACTTATAAATTTAACAGTGTCATTAGTCTCAGGCCAGTTTCCAACCTGTGGGGCTGGAGGGCAGGGCCACTCCAGAAGGCTGCATTGGCTCTTGCTGCATATGACTGCTGGAAGCACTCTGCCAGAAGGCTATGGCACTGGGGAGTGGGGCAGGGGAGAGAATGGAGGGATCACCTGGGCTCCAAATGGAGTAGCAAACGAGTGAAAAATGGAAAGCATACGAATAAAAAACAGAAGGGCGAGACAAATGAAAGAAAGGACAAAAACAAAGGAGCAGCACAAAGAACAAAACAGGAGGCAGGATGTGACAATTCCAGACACAGCATAAGGGGACATGGGTGAAAGGCAGACTGGATCTTTAGAATTATAAATGTATTATGGGTTTCTTAAAGTATTTGGCTGCAAGTAACTACTTGACAGGAGTCTTTGAAAAGGCTATAAACAGAAAAATTAAGACAGACAGACACACACCACAAGGGTTAGGAGGCTCCTAGGGAAGACAACCACTAATTTTTAGTCTATATCACTAGACTAAGTAAATGGAAGAGATGAAGGCAGGGCACCCATGCTAAAATACACAAGCTTCTTACTAGTTGATGTACTTATGGCCTATTTTTGAAAGAAGATATACATTCCACATTTCTTGTCCGAGGAGTGAAGATAGATATTAAGTCACAAGTTCATCCATGAGGGGCAAGCTTTGTAGTGGGCCTCAACTGACTACTTGTATCCAATGCATTTACCCAAAGAACCAGGAATACAGCTCGGAATCATTAAATAGGCTTTGTATTGTGTATAACACACCATGTTTATTATTTAGGTTCTCAGACTTAGTCACAGACTACAGAGCAGTTGCTGATAGTGCTGGCTCTCCTTGTTTTGAGCTGCTTTCAAGGATGTCCAGGTTCTTCAGTGCAAAGGAGAGCCTGGAGGTTTGCAGAAGCACCCAGAAATAAGATGGGACCAGCACCGCTATTCCAATACAGGCTGCTGCAGAATATACACATTTGAACCTTAAGAGAAACAGGATTACAAACTATCGCTTGGCTGGACTCGTACTCTTTAGCACAAGGCAGATTTCAATTCCCCTACCTCTCAAAACCGCATCTCTTGAAAAACATACAGATAAGTCTCAGTCTGAGACCATCGCCGGTGCCCCAGTACCCCTTGTCCCCAACATCTGATTTCAATTTCTTCATAAGAAGAAAGCAGTCCCCATAATTAAGGGTAAGACACCCAGAGACTGTTTATAGAATAAGACGTGTACACTCCCAAGGTAGCCCTGGAATCCTTGAAGGAGTGCACAGTGTCATCCGTCTTGTTGGAGAATAAGACTCACCCGTCAAAGGGCAAGTTCTCAATGGCTTGTTGGATGTCCAGAGCAATCCCAGAGTTTTGCAACCAGGAATCCCTCCTTATAGTTACCACAGAGGCCATGACCCTGGCCAAGGTAAAATCAAAAGTGGACTGCAGGGAAGTTTTGGCCACCAAACAGCCTACTGCAACAAATGCCTGGAACTCCTCACATGACCCCTCGGGCAACTGGTCCTCAAATTTAGCCATGGCTGACAACTGAAGAAATCATACTTGGCCAGCAAAGCTTGTTAATTAGCTATCCTCATCTGTACAGACAACGGGGTATAGATCTTCCTGCCCAGCAGATTCAACTGCTTGGAGTCCATCCTTGGGTGGTAAACTTGAATGTACCCTGCCAGGCCCTGTCATTTACCACCATTATGACCAGGAAATTCAGGGCCGGGTGGGAACAGAACCCTTCAAATACCTGCATGGGAACAAAATAGTGCTCTTCCATGCATTTCACCATCAGCAGTACCAAGGCCGGTGTTCTCCACAGGGCTGTCACTGGCTCGAGGAGTGCATCATTGACCGGGAGGGCCATTCTCTCAGGGACAGCAGGGTGTAAAGTGGCCAGTTTATGCATGTTCTCTTGGAGGAACTCTGACTGGATGCCAAGGGATGTGGCTATGTGGAGTAAAAGGTCCTGGTCCCTCTTCAAGTTCTCCAGGATAGAAGGGGAGGACAAACCAAGCAGCACGGCATTGTCCAGCAATGAGGATGAAGGTCCTGGCTGAGCCAAAATAAGCTTTTGCTCCTGGGAAGATATACCTAGAAGGGAGGACTCCAGCAATTCCCCAGGGAGGCAGAAAGCCAATGCCTGGGCCTGCAGCTGATCCGAAGCCACCATTGTCAACCTGGCATGGCTTTGGCTTCAACCAGGATGAAAAGCAGGATCGGTGAACAAGAAACATCCCACTGAGTCCAAGGCCACTGATGTGTAGGGCATTGGTGGCCAGTAGGGGCCGGGCCAATGACCACGGTCCCTGCCACCGGGCACACACCAACTCTGGGAACCAAACTGGTCCACTGGCAGTCCCTTGAGTTCCTCAGGTGATGTGGAGTGGAAAGATGATAACTCCGACTTGGAATCAAAGCCCTAGAATCTCAGCAACATGGGTAGAGCGACGCACAAGGGAGCTAACAGGTGGTCCAATTTATCCATCACCCAGAACGAGGAGGGAATCTGCGATGAAGACAGTATCATCTCTATTGAGCATGCTGGTGCCATGGGTAGTGTCAGTCCTGGTGCAAACATCAGTACCAGAGCGCCCGAATGCGTCGTCAAGGGTGGTGAGAGCCATCATGGGAGCACTTGCAGTGTCAAATGCGGTGGGGCCCGAAGAGGGTCCCCAGAGCTGAAGTCCCATGCCCCAATTCTGGTACAGGCTCCATCCCCACCACAGGAAGGAGGAGGTCTGGATGCAGTGGCGACAGACACGGAGATTCAGCAGCTTGCTCCATTGGAGGGACTATAGGTGGGACAGCCCTAGACCAACGGTTAAATTCAGAATGAAAGGCAGAGGAAGTCTGTAGCTGCCTGATACAGACAACATGGACAGAGTCGACATCGGCATCTCCCTCAGCAGTACTGGACTCAAGGGGTGCCTGGAGGCTGGAGTCAACAGTACAGGGTTTCTGCCCTCCCCACTCGGTACCGGGGACGGGTCAGAGGTACTTGTGTCATCCTGCGCACCAGAACCAGCTCCGTGCCAGTCTGTGCTTTTCCTGGGGGACGCAGAGCAGTCACCCAAGACTTGGAGTGGTCCTGATTAGTCTTATGAGACCTCTTCCTCGGCGCCAATGGAGAACAGCTCTTCTCTCTCTTTGACGAGGTTTCTGCACTGGAACAAGGGGCAGCAGTGCCCTCCAAGCCTGAGGGTGAGCTTTGGCCTGAGAAAGGCCTTGGTATGGGATCAGACAGCATGGCCTGTTCAAAAACTGCCTCAGGCAGCACCCAAGGTATAATGTCACCTGAGTCTCCTTTTTAAAAAAAATGATTTACAGATCAAAATAGTGCTCTTTTAAGGTGGGCCTCACTGAAACAAAGCAAACACTGCCACCTCTTATAGCTAGGGGAAGGGTCACAGCCACAAGTGTGGCCCCTCTATGGGTAATGGTAGGGAAAAGTCTCCAGCTCTGGCATGCACTCATCTAAGTGGAATAGATGTCTGCATCTACTCGAAGAAGAAATTATCTGATCTCTAAAGATACTTTACTGACTTGGACCAAGATATTTTTACAAATGGATGCCTAAAATTAAGCTCTTAAATAAGCGTATGTTTAGACACAAATAAGTGGCCTCATTTTCGGAAGTGCTGAACACTCAGCAGCTCCCCCTGATGTCACAATTACTATTGTTTGAGAGGACAAAGGGACTGGCAGCTGGCCTAAATGAGGCTGACCTACCTTGGCATCAAAGAGCCAAAACTCTTACAGCTAAGAGCCTGCCCTACATGAGGAAACCAAGAAAAGAGTAAGAATTCAGCCAATGATACTTACAGCAAGTCTACACTACAAAATTAAGTCTACCTAAGTTACGTTGACTTATAGCCATTGCAGTAATTAAATGGCTTTTGCATGTCCACACTGTGCTCCTTGTGTCCACAGTGCACATCCTCACCAGGAGCACTTGCACCAATTTAACTGCCGGCGTGGGGCATTGTGGGACGGCTTCTAAAAGGCAGCAACAGTTGATGTAAGCAACACAATGTCTATACTAACACTGTGTCGACCTAACTACATCAACCTCTCGCAGAGGTGAAGTTAAGTCAGCATAGTGGGCGAGTTACATCAGTGGGAGCTGAATTTTAGTGTAGATATTTAGAGTTAGGTTGATTTAAGCTGCCTTATGTCGACCTAACTCTGTAGTGTAGTCCAGGGCTTAGATAACATGCCTATACATTGCCTAGTACAGCGGGGTCTCTGAATGTTACTTAATACAAATATTGCATTGAAAAAGAGAGAGAGGAAACTGATGCTGCAGTCTAAAACCAAAATCACCAGCAAGACTTTGCCATGCTGTCTACCAAGAGAGGAATAGATAAGGGAGCAGGTGAGAAGCAGAAGCATCTAGATGCATGGGGACAAGAGGAACATGATACTCATTGTTAGCGTGTCTTCACTACTGGAAGAGGAGATAGGCAACAAGACAGTCTTGCACCCTGGAAATCCAAGGAACCCCTGTTGAATGTGTACTTTATTAATGTTCTATGGCACATAAGACATAGAAATTCACCACAGAATTCTTGCAGTTGAGGAAATGAAAAACTTTAAAATTTATTTTTCAGAAGAACTGCCAATAAATCGAAACTTCTGGGGCAGATGCCGGCTGGCACATTAAAAGGAAATCTTCTAAAGCAGTACTGCAAATCTGGTGAGAGAACCCTGTGAGTGTAAAGAACTGAATGACTCAAGCAGTAAAAGACTAATTTTAAAATTATTGGGTCCCTCACATTCACAATAGGATACAACTTGATGACAGTACTTTTAAAGTAACAATCTCTGTTTGACAAGTAGCATTGCTTACAAGTACAGTATTTGTCTTTACAAATGCACTCCTTGATTAGCACAATAGTATTGTTTGTCTGGCATTATATTGTTAGAATATCAATGTTATATACCCCATCAGCCAGTTGCACTTCGCAGCATCTTACCCAGTGCCTTAAAAACACTTGCAGAGAAGTTTATATACTTAGGCCTTCAGTTACAGGCTGCCCCCTTGCACATGGAGGTCTCTATCTTATCAAGAAAGCAAATATGTTTAGCCATGTCAGCTAGTTAGCTAAAACAAGGAGGAGTCCTTGGGGCACCTTAGAGACTAACAAATCTAACAGTCTAATGAGACAATTCAATTAACAGTAGAATACCAAGAGAGGAAAAATCACTTTTGTAGTGGTATGAGGGTGGCTAGCAATGCCCCTCTGCCATGTACATTGGCCAAACCTCCAACGTGAAACTGCAGAACTGGAATTAATTTGCAAACTGGACACCATCAAATTAGGCCTGAATAAAGACTGGGAGTGGATGGGTCATTACAAAAACTAATTTCCCCATACTGTTACTCACACCTTCTTTCAACTGTTTAAAATGGGCCACCCTCATTACCACTACAAAAGTGATTTCCCCCCCCCTTGGTATTCTACTGTTAATTGAATTGTCTTGCTAGTACATGAAAAGATGGGAGTTGCCTTACCAAGTGTGTGTGTGTGTGGGGGGGGGGGGGGTCAGTCTATGTATATATACCTGCTACTGTATTTTCCACTCCATGCATCTGATGAAGTGGGTTCTATGAAAGCTTATGCCCAAATAAATTTCTTAGTCTCTAAGGTGCCACAAAAAGACTCCTCGTTGTTTTTGCTGATACAGACTAACACGGCTACTACTCTGAAGCTAGTTAGCTGAGTCAGAAGAACTGATTCCTAGTGTCTTCCTGTTAATTGAGGAACAGGAAACATTCACTAGATTTGTTTGTGTATGCTAAATTGCGAAAGTAACCTTATTGTAGACATTCCTGCCCGGGTCCCCGCATGCTTCATGAGGAAGCTACTGTTGCACGTAGCAGTGGAAGAGCTTCTGTTCACTCTTCCCTTCTCCCCTCCTAGGGGTACTGTGCACACTGCTACTATCGTGGCAATGCTTGCTCCGACATCCCTCTCCTACCCAGAACTAGTTAATTTCACATAAAGAGAGGAGGCTGGCCAGCATGCAAAAAACCCAAGCAAGAGTGAATATGCAGGTGACCTCTCCCCTATGAAATGAGATTATTCTGCATCTTCTATTGGGAAGCGTCCCCCTCATTTCTACAGCTAACTGTGAAGTGTTAGCACAACTATGGACATTTAAATTTAAGAGTATTTTCTTCCACTAATAATTCTCACACAGATTATGAGGACAATATGCCCCTTAGACCAGTGGTTCTCAACCAGTGAAACGTGTACCCCTAGGGGTACGCAGAGGTCTTCTAGGGGGTACATCAACTCATCTAGACATTTGCCTAGTTTTACAACAACAGGTATATAAAAAGCACTAGCAAAGTCTGTACAAACTAAAATTTCATACGACTTGTTTATACTGTTCTATATATTATACACTGAAATGTAAGTACAATATATATATTCTAACTGATTTATAATTATATGGTAAAAATGAGCTAGTATGCAATTTTTCAGTAATAGTGTGCTGTGACACTTGTCTTTTTAATGTCTGATTTTATAAGCAAGTTGTTTTTAAGTGAGGTGAAACTTGGGGGTACCCAAGACAGACTACTGAAAGAGGTACAGTAGTCTGGACAGGTTAAGAGCCACTGCCTTAGATAACAGGATCCTTTGAGCAACTGCCACAAAAACAACACTAGCCTAGGAAGGTTATAAACATTGTCATCCACTTTAATGGGGGGCTAAGAAAGAAAGAGGGGAAGAAAAGAGGGGGTAGGTAGCAGTGAGAGGGTGGAATGTACATATAGGAGGATACATAACCCTCAATGAACAAACCACTTAGTTTTCTCAGGGCGCTCATTACCACAATCCTACCTTGGTCTGTTTTGTCTTGATTTGCAAATTCCACTGTATATTTGGAGCAATCTAGACCCAAGAGTTCCTGCTGCTGTTTTAAAATTTCATCCATCAGCCTTGCGTTATTCCTCTTGAAGATTCCTTAAAAAAACCATAACAAAAACATAAGTCACTTCAGTTTCCACTTTTTCAGAAAGAATGTTGTGAAAATAGAAAAACAGGCAGTAAACACTAGCTTTAAACTAGACTCGACGAGATTAATAAGTAACTGAAGCAGATGATACTACATAAATCTGGCTTCATGATGACCTTGGAAGAGAAAGTTACCTATATACAACTTTAGATCTGGTGTATGCTGCTATTGTTCTTGGCATAGCTGAACCACTACGCAGTGACATCTGATGTTTTTTAAAAACTAGAACACTGTCACTTCACTGCTAGAATGCTCTAATTCTATGACCAATTTACCATTTACATGTCAGATGCAATTAGAGATAGGGAAGATGTACAAACAAGCAGAAGCAAGGAATTCCCATGTTCTAATGCTAGCCTTGCACCAGCTCCCTCTGTGGCCTAAGACAAATGAAACTTTGCATCAGGACTTCTCTAGGTAAATAGTGCATGGCAAGCTCAGCCGTAAAGCGACGGTGCACAGCATAACCTCTTACATGTTCTTAACAGCTTTACAAGAATCAATGTTTGTAAAATACACTGTAGACTAAGTTATGAGAAGGGTAGCTAGGGCAGATGAATGTTAGAGGCAACATGAACAATTATAACTTTTACAGTCAGATTTCATAGCCAATACTGACAGTACAGGCCTATATTTATTACAGCATATTGGGATCAACTCATTATTTGACACTTAGGAGAATAATACTGCTCATTTTATTACAAAAATTCACTGCTCAAAACTTCATTAGTACTTAAGTTGACCACCAGTGCCTCATACACTTTACTTCATTTCTTGGTTTTCAGAGGTTTAAGAACACACCAACCTCAGCCCACTTTAACTCTGCTCCTAGGAGCTGGCAAGAGCCACAGGGAATATACTGAAAGTATGTTTCAGCCAGGGCTACTCTACAATAAGCACACATACCTAAGGAATGATGAAGTAAGCATACCATTTTATGTAATGTGGTATGCCCTACAGAATTGTATTCTTTCCTTCATCTGCATGCACTCCAACTGATCTTCATTGCGTTAGGGACTGCTGCAAGCATTACTTGCAGCAGTTTACACTGCAGTATGAGGAGAAGTACATCTACATCCAAAGAGATCACGAACCCTTCATTTCTGTGCTGAGTTATGTAGGTTGCACGAGCTGAAAAGCACAACAACCAATTCTTGCTGTGGGGTTTTGTAGAACTCTGAAACCACAGGAGAGTACACTTCAAGGGGGAAGTAAGTGCAGGCAATGCTCTCAAGAGACTAAGATAAAGGTCAAGGAACAGTAACAATTGGAATGCTGATGTTTTTGCAGAACAGATTAAGTACAGGCCAGGCATAGCCAGTTTTGTTCACTAAGCCTGTTCTAAATGCAGAGAGTTTGCCTTAGTGAGGACAGAGGTGTTCCTACCATACCCATATATTATGACCCCATATCATCTGGAAAGATAGTGTGCTATGTTGTCTGTCAGCGTGGAAAGGGGCTTCACTCAGAGGGCAGGGTTTCAGTTCCAGTGTGGGTCTGGTAGGTACCTTAATGCTTTATATCCTGGTATTCTAAGGTTTAATCATACATGTGCTTGATGTTCTGGAAGGGTACGAGACAGGGCTGGTCACTCTTAACTGTGAATTAACCAAATTTTTTTTTAAACAGTGAATTCAAAAGTGAAAGTGGTGCTAGTAGTAAAGTTGCACAAAGTCTTCCTGGAAACACCTTGCTGCCACTAAGCTACCAGGTTTATCCTCTTCCTTGTTCCTTCATGCCCCCAGTAGGGTTTGAGAGACCTTTGAGAAAACAGACTATGGGTTGGCTGCAAGGAGCACATCTACCAGCTGGAGGCACCAAGGAGTGGAGATGGACACCAGACTCCATTTTGAAAGAAAGAGCTCAGCAAAACCCTTTGCAGCCAGGAGGACTGCAGAGACGTGAAATGGCTCGTTCATCTCAGTAGGATGTTCTCAAATGAATCACAACATGCCACGGAGATTAATACAATCTGACAATAGTTCTGAAAGGTGTCAGATGACCCATTTAGCTCAATGGGTGTTCTTCCCCCCCCCCCCCCCCCATCATGAAGTCTACCCCAGCCCTTGTTGTACGATATCAGTTTCCATATGCACAGTGAGAGGATGCTGAAAATTAAAAGAAGCTTAATGTGATGGGTGTATGTTGATAATCCCTTGACCAAATTACACTAAATTTGTGTAATCCCTTTGGGGTTTAGAGAGCGTGGCCCCTTTAAATCTTTTTACTGGGGGGGGGGGGAAGAGGAAGTGCTGATTGCTCCAGAAGGAGGAAGTTATGGTTGGGAGGCGGGCGGGGAGGGGAGAATGACAGGGTGTGTGTGTGTCTGGAGCTCCAGACAGAAGGCCAGCAGGCCCTCACAAAGTGAAGCAGCTGATAACTTGCACAAAGCCTGGGATGGACAGAGCGGCCCATCAGGGACACCCCAGGGCAGGAGCAGGGGGAGCACTGTGCCAAGGAGGAATCGCCTGAGGACAAACTGGAACTGGATCCAATATCACTGCTGCCCAGAATTGTATGGGGCCATGATTCCTGGGGCTTGTGACTTTGCAAAGGGAATAAGGAAGGAGGCTGTTAGCTTGTTAAGTGGGGAGGTTGTTGCTCTGTGTGGCTTTGCAGAGAGCAGGAGAAGAGGACACCAGAGAGGTTTGTTGGGGAAACTTTGCTAACACCAAAGATGACCAGGAGCACTCAAGACTCACCCTTGGACTGGAACTTTGCCCAGGACCCCTGAACATTGCTTGGTGGGGCCTTGTGTTAAATGCAACCCTGTTTTACTGCTCCCCACCATCTCCCCCACCCCCATTGTTTTTCTCCTTTCATCCCCCTGTAAACAAAATATTTCCCTTTTCTATATTCATTGTAGTCTTCCCATGGGTGTTTACTCTGGGGGGGGTGTTAGAACAGGTGCCCCTGTTGTGGAAGGGACGGTCACGGCTGCGTTCCTGCGCATGCCTTTTCTTGGCTAGCGCTGCCTGCAGAGTAGACTCCATCTGGACCACAAGGGTGCTAAAGTTACATTTGTACCACGAGCTCTACCACAGCCCTTTATATGACACATCAATACACTGGCGGGTAGTAGCACCAACACAAGCTTAAAGCAGGGGTTTCATTTTAAGAGGGGTGGAAAAACCCTACAAAAATGATGCTTTAACCAAAGCAACAGAACTTAAAAATGTCCATTGCAATTTGTGCAGTGCTTGATTTTTTTATTACAGTTTATGGGAGGGGGAAGATTTGGAGTTTGATATGAATGTTTTAGAAAGCCAGTAATGTGCACAAAACATTCTCAGGATGCTGCCATGGATAGGACTTGAACTCACAGTATATGGCTGCTGTTTGGGTTCAATGGTCACAGGATGTCACCTTGAGCTGCCTACTTACTCTGATGTTTGCAAACACTCTGGCATGCAAGCAACACTGGCTGGCTCTGTTGCAAATGTGCAAGTGATTTTCTCTGGTTCAGCAGCTTTGCTAGAGCCACATTGTAGATCCAACTTTTACTCTTAATACCTTTTGTCACAAAATGGTCCAGTACCAGTCTCTGAACAGGCATTTCCTCTGTTGCCAAGGGATCCAAACACTGAATCCCACCTGCCGCTAAGCTCACTGTTTCTGGGAAATGACTGATCTCTGCTCCTAGCTCTGGTTTGCTCCAGAGCATAGGCGTGTGCACAGGGCGTGCCCAGGCACACCCTAATGCAGGGGTGGGCAAATGGCCCCACTCTCCCAGTGCGGCAAGCTGCGGGGTCCGCGCTTCCGGGCCAGAGCACCCGGCCAAGCACAGCAAGTCGCCGGCCCCGCCCCTGGAGCCATGTCACCACGCGCACAGCGCTCTGGGGGCCAGAACTGCGCGCTCCCACGGGGCAGTGTTTGGCTCCGCAGGGAGGGAAGAAACGCTCCCCACTCATCCGGAGCCATGCCGTCACGCGCGCAGCATTCTGAGGGGTGGGGCTGCCCACTCCCGCGGGGCAGCGTGTCTGGCTCTGCGCGGAGCCAAACATGCTGCTAGGAGCCTCATAGGGGGCCGGGGCGGATAAGCGGTGGGGGCAGTCGGGACAGGGAGCAGGGTGGTAGGATAGGGGGTGGGATCCGGGGGGGGTGTCTCTGGAGGGGGCAGTCAGGGAGCAGGGGGGGTTGGATGGGGCATGGGCGTCCTGGGGCCTGTCAGGGGACAGGGAGCAAGGAGGGTCGTCTCTGGAGGGGATGGTCAGGGGACAAGTTGCTGGGGGAGGTTGGATGAGTCGGGAGTTCGGGGGAGGCCGTCAGGAGGCAGGGGTGTGGAGAGGGGTTGGGGCAGGCAGGGAGGGTTGTATGAGTCAGGAGTTCTGGGGGTCCTGTCAGGGGGCAGGGGTGTGGATAAGGGTCAGGGCAGTCAGGGGACAGGGAGCAGGGAGGCTTAGATAGGGGGTGGGATCCTGGTGGGCAGTTAGGGTCAGGGGTCACAGGAGGGGGTAGTCAGGGGGCAAGAAGTAGGAGGGAGTGGATGGGGGCAGGGCGGGGCTCCCTGGGTGCACACCCTAATGAAATGTGCTGCACATGCCTATGCTCCAGAGCACTCAGGTGCTGATGCCAAGGTCCTTTTAAATAAATTTGAGAGAGTTTATGCAAAGCTCACTCCAGACCCAGAACCTAGGTCTTTAACAGGAGCAATACCACTCTTATTCACTGTACTGCAGTACCTTGCAGAGTTTGACTAAACCAGTTCTGGTTATCCTAGTTCTAACCATTCTATACCCCATACTCCTCTCTCTAGGGATAGAATCCAAGCTTCCTGACCAATATTCTGTGTCTGACTAGTAAATAACTGTGCAACTCACTGTGAAAACATGCATTAAGTCATTCTCCAATCCAGAGTTTTTGAAGTAAATATAGCATAATTAAACTGCAATATATTTCTAATAGGGCTGTCGATTAATCACAGTTAACTCACACAATTAACAAAAAA